ATGAGACAAGGTCTCGAAATCCTCTTTACTGAATGCAAAGATGTCCTCAGGCATGCGGCCCCAAATTTGCCCTTCTGTTGCAACGAAAACTTTTATCCGCTTGATCACGGGTCCTTGAGGAACATAGGTCCCCCCAATGATCATATGAACAATGTGCCGAGGTTTTCCCGTTCCATTCCTCCTGTCTGCCTCTCTTTCTTCCCGGGCTGGAGTTTTCCGAGCTTCCTATTGGTTTTCTTGGACTATACTCCCGTTAGTGTGGGATCTTATATCGACGTGGTGGGCGTTGCGTGAGACCACATCCACGAGGATTGGTTCTGGTGCATCCTCGGGGTTTCGCGGCAGTACACCGACGCCTGGAACAACTACACCATTCTCTCCATGGTCTTTAGGACCGTTGTTTTCATGTGCATTCACTGAGTTAGACATTTTGACCTGAAATCAAAGATTCTTGGACAAGAAAAAGTGTGAAGAATAACTTGGGTTTTCAATAAACTAGCACAAAAACAATCACTATTATTTTTAGCCCCACGGTGGGCGCCAAATTGTTTACCTTAAAAATGGTAATCACAATTAGATTTCATTTTGTGGTTCTAAAAATACGTGATTTATTTTTATGCTAGTTTTTAAGCGATAGATGCTAAGTGTGAATCAGGAAAATGAGATAAGAGCTTGAGGATAGTATGTTATGCAAATCTAATGGCCGTGAATCGGGGTCTCGAGCTAGCCTATGCTGGGCCTCGAGGTCGAGCTAAAGCGTCAGACTGGGGATGGACAATGAAGGGCTAACAGTTCTAAGGGCTTTGATGATGGCTCTTTATGATCAATGATGAGTAATAAATGAAGAACAATCAACAAAACACAATAATGTAAGCAATAAAATCAAAGGAATGACAGTAGAATATGTTTAAGTTGGAGAGCAGAGAATGTTCTTGTTCTTGTATTGAATATCATCTATCCAAGAAATAGCAAGGGTCCCCTTTATATAGGAGGGGGAATCCCAACATGGTACATGTATAATTATTACAACAAAATGTAGCTGGTACAACTACTTAATGGTCCTGTACGAACTTGTACTATTTTTGCAGGCGTTGTTAGCTTGGACCACGTGCCTAGGAAATTTACCGCTTGTCCATGATAGTCACCGATTTATGCTGCCCCGAGATCGAGCATAGGGAACCCTCGGGGTCAAACCTCGAGCTACCTCGAGCCTTCTGGAGACGGGCTATGGGGTGTCATCGCAAAATCGGACTCTCCGATTTTAGCCGTATACAGGTATTAGGGCCGGCGTAAAGTCGGCCACGAAATGTGCCAAAATTTGAGATTTAGTGGTTGTTAAGGGTTGATATTCGATATCGTACCCGCTGATTTCGAGGACCCATTTGGCCAATCGTCCCGAGAGTTCGGGTTTATGCATTATATTTCGTAAAGGGTAGGTTGTCACAACACATATATGATGGCACTGAAAATATGGTTTCAGTTTTCTAGAGGCACTTAGCAAAGCGAGTGCCAATTTTTCTAGGTGAGGATATCTAGTTTCGGCCTCACCTAAGGTCCTACTAACATAATAAATTAGAAATTGCATACCTTATTCTTCCCGGACTAGGACTCCACTTACCGCTATTTCCGATACTGCTAGATACAAGTATAGTCGTTCGTCTGCCATCGGCGTGTGAAGCAATGGCAGGCTCGATAAATATCACTTAAGTTCTTCTAATGCCTGTTGGCATTCCTGGGTCCATGTGAAGTTGTTTTTCTTCTTCAGCAACAAGAAAAATCGATGGCTTTTATCGAAAGACCTCGAGATGAATCGCCCCAGTGCTACAATGCGCACGGTTAGCCTTTTTACAGCCTTAACATTATCCACTACCGTGATATCCTCTATAGCTTTGATTTTGTTGGGGTTGATCTCGATTCCTCGGTTGGACACCATGAACCTGAGGAATTTACCTGATCCGACTCTGAACGCTCACTTTTCTGTTCAGCTTCATGTTGTACTTCTTCAATATACTGAAGGTTTCCTGCAAATGCTTTAAATGGTCCTCTGCTCGTAGGGACTTAACTAACATATCGTCAATGTACACTTCCATGGATTTTCCTATCTGTTCTTCAAACATTCTATTTACTAGTTGTTGGTAAGCGGCACCAACATTTTTTAATCCAAATGGCATTACGTTATAGCAGTATGTGCCATACTTAGTGATGAAAGACATCTTTTCTTGATCATCCGGGTTCATCCGTATTTGGTTGTACCCGGAGTAGGCATCGAGAAAACTGAGGATCTCGTGGCCGGTCGTGGCATTAATCATGCGATCGATGTTAGGCAAAGGGAAAGAATCTTTGGGGCATGCCTTAGAGCGTCGATATCGGTATTACGTCATCGATGGCAAACATCTCCTTTGTGGTGGGCTGTTCCCTGTAGACCGTCTTGATCCCTTCCAGTGTTGGAAATTTTAATACCTGGTGAAGGGTCGAGGGCACTGCCCTCATGTTGTGGATCCATGGCCTCCCGAACAGGACAATATACCTCATGTCACCTTCGATTACATAAAACTTGGTTTCCTGGGTGGTACCAGCTACGTTTACCGGCGACATTATTTCTCCCTTAGTAGTTTCGCAAGCCATGTTGAATCCATTTAGAACTCGGGCCGCAGGTACGATTTGGTCCTGTAGGCCGAGTTGCTCTACGACTCTTGATCGAATGATGTTGACCGAACTACCTGGATCAATTAACACACGGTTAACTCGAGTTTTATTCATGAGTACAGAAATTACCATCGCATCATTATGGGCCTGCATGATTCCTTCTGCATCCTCATCGTTGAAAGATAAAGTTCCTTCTGGTATGTAATCTCGAGTCCATTTTTCCCCTGTGATTGATACTTTGGTGCGCTTTATCATCGGACCTTGAGGAACATCGACCCCTCCGATGATCATATAAATGACGTGTTGGGGCTCGTCTTGTTCATTTTGTTTATTGGAATCCCTGTTTCTGAAATGGTTCTTAGCTCGGTCACTCAGAAATTCTCGAAGATGCTCGTTGTTGAATGACCGGGCTACTTCTTCTCTCAATTGTCGACAATCCTCCGTTCTGTGACCATGTGTGCCATGATATTTGCATATTTGGTTGGGATCCCTTTGTGTTGGATCAGTTTGTAAAGTTAGGGCCACTTGGTATCTTTGATGCGTACGATAGCCGATACGATGGCAGCCGCATCAACATTAAAGTTGTACTAGAATCCGTTCTTGCTCATGAACCCTCGAGAGCTTTGACCTCGATCACTTCTCCTTTCATTTCGTGCAGAATTTTGCCCAGACTCGTTGTTCCTATGATCTCCATTATACGGCTGATATCGATCTCTGTTCAGCCTCGATTCTCGGTCAATGTCCCTCTTGGTTCTATTGACGGGTCTGATGGGGTAAACGGACCCGGAAGGAGCTCCAAGTTGATCGTCCTCGGCCCTGATCTTTGAATGATATCAATTATGCACATCGGCCCAAGTAACAGCCGTGTATTCTATCAAATTCTGCTTCAACTGCTGTGAAGCCACCGAGCTCCGAGCATTGAGTCACTACTAGAAAAATGCAAATTTCCCAGGGAAATTTCCCACAGATATATTATCAGTGGCAGTTCCCATTGAAATGTAAAAAAATCCAGTGGGAAATGGAAAAGATTTCTTTTACCTTTGTTTTAAAAATGTTCCCATGGACTATAGATGGGAACTAGTTGGCGCAAAAAAGCGCGCAATTTGTTTCCCACCGAATCAGTGGGAATGTCATTAAAAATGAAATTATTAAACTATACCCAGTGAAACGGTGGGAATTTCGGATAAAAAATTATTTTAATATTTCCCACTGATGCAGTAGGAAGCTCAAAATTTTAAACTTTGACAAAAACCGCGAGCTTAAAAAAAATTTCACCAAAATAAATAAATTTATATAAGACAATTCCCACAAATATACCTAGGGAATCAGTGGGAATGTCTTTCCTTACATTAGGCGTATACCTCTTATTTTTCTTCTCTTCTAATTTTCACTCTCATTCTTCTCTTTCTCTCCCATTCTCTTGGCAGAAACCTCCATTCTTGCCCTAGAGCTTTCACTCATGCAAAATCACAGGTAAGTGACGCCTCTTTCTCTCTCTCTCGCTAACCCCCCTCCCCCTTTCTTTCTCCCTTTTCTGATTTTACCCTAAATGCCTAAAAACCTAAGATTCTTCTGATTTTACCCTTATTAATGAAAAGCCTTTGGCTCTTTTAGTAATAACAGTTAAGATTTATATGATTAACAAATTGTGTTCCTTAAGATTCTTACAAGTGCATCTCTTCTACCTCCTTATCCTTTTTCTGCTTCGTGTACACAATTATTTTTCTATTCATCTTTGAAGTTCGGATGTCTTTCTCAATATCCATCTACACGTGGATTTAAGCTTTTCCTTTTAAATCTTGAATTATACAGCCTGAACAAGCCCTTGGTTGGCTATTTCTTGAAATATCCTGGTCTACAGTCAATTTTTTCTCTTTTTTTTGGTCTGCCTTATGAGCTAGCATAAAATGCAGTACACAATGGCTTTTTTAATGAAATTGTGCAAAATGGGCAAGTTTCATGAATTTCTTACTGATATTCTTGCTGCAGAAGGCAATTTTGAGACATGAATAGCCTTTCGCTTTTGGCTATAATACTTTATGTAATGTCAAATATGGTTACTTGTTAACTTAAGTTTTTCCCTGTTACTTATTACCTTTTTGAAAAAGAGTAGGTGATGCTTTATGTGATTTAGTTCCTGTAGCAATTTAAATCCAGATTAGTCTTTCTTTTTCACAATTTTTGTCGAGCACTCTATAAGTTCTATCCATTACTTGTATTCTCTTATCCATTGCTTCCTTGAATTTTCAAGAATAGAGAAATGTTTCATGGACATAGCACTTTAATTTTGCTTTTTTCATGTTTTATTTAACAGGAAAAGTCTTTAAAAAGACCAGCTACTCAAGATAGGTATTTGAGCATACACATATGAAGAAGCTAAAGGATGGAACAAAGACAACTTGGATCGGGCCACGAGCCGAGACAACCTATGTAAGATTTCAAGTTACTTTTTAATACTTTTCATTAATTAAATTTATTCATATAATAGTTGTAACTTTTTTGCAGAATACTTTCAAACAATCCTTGGAGGAGTTCATACAAAGCCAACCAACTGATGATCAAGGAAAGCCAATCCAACCATCCCAGGAGAATTATATGGAATTGTGGATTAAGGCGGCTGGTGGCGTACATAAGGGAAGAGTTTACGGCCTTGGATCAGAGTTTAGTTCTAGTCGTCGGTCTTTTGGATCTGGTGGCTCTTCTTCCTCAAGGTCCTCGACTAATCAGGATGAGTTTGAGCTATTGAATAGAAGAATAGCAGAGATCACTGAGTTGTACGCACAGGAAAGGGTTGCACGGGAGGAGGAGGCAAAGCGAAGGGAGGAAGAAGATAGGTGGAGGGAGGAAGAGGAGAGGCGGAGAGAGGAAGAAATGAGGCGAAAGGATGCTGCATTTACACGTGTCACTGGTGACATTGAAAGCTTCAAGGCCCAGCTAAACTACCTCTTAGCAGCTGGTGCATTTCCTCTACCACGTTCTCCATCACGCTCTAACAAGACTAAGGAGTAGTTTCTTTTATTAATATGATTTTGGGTGGGACTATGATGTTGGATATTATGTATCAATTGGATAAGATTGAATGCTGAATTTCTTATTTGAATGTTTAGTTGCATTATTGGTTTCTAGTATTTTCAGTTTTGGTTGGTTGTTAATTAACGAAATGGATCGGAAGATGTTGATTTGTATGTGTGAATGTTTAATTGTATTTAGGTTGTTGGTGGTTGTATTTTTTGTTTGGCAGGTGGTGCAGTATAAAAAGTAGCATTGTGCACAAAAATAATTTCCAGATTTCCCACGAAATTGCCACTGATTCCGTGGGAAGGTTCGTCACTTTAGTTGCAGAACTTGCACATTTCCCACTGATATCGGTGGGAAAGTTCATACTTTTTTTCATAATTTGCATTTATCCCACTGATATCGGTGGGAAAGTTCATACTTTTATTTTCAGAATTTAACACATTTCACATGGATATCGGTGGGAATGTTCATACTTTATTTTTCAGAACTTGCATATTTCCCACGGTTATCAGTGGGAAAGTTCATACTTTATTTCCAGCTCCCCGTGCAGTTTTCCCATCACTTCCCTGGTTAATGTATTAAAATTAATAAAAATTACTAATAGTATTTCCCACTGATTGTTGGTGGGAAATTTCATTATTTTTCCTATTAAAATTTCTCTGGGAAAACCGTAGAAAATTTTCCACCGCTTCTCTGGGAAGATATTTCCCGCCAAGCGTTTTCCTGGTGACTCGTTTCAGTGGGAATGCAGTATGAAAACTTGATTTTCCCACCAGTTTCCCACTGATTTCGCGGCGGGAAATCCATGTGTTTCTAGTAGTGAGTCCTTGAGTGAAAGCTTGAACAGCCTAATCATCAGCGACCAGTGGCAAGTCTATCCGTTCCATATGGAATCTAGACACGAATTCTCTGAGCATTTCGTTGTCTTTCTGCCTTACCTCGAAAAGGTCTGACTTCCTGATTTCGACCTTGATGGCCCCGGTGTGTGCCTTTACGAAAGAATCTGCAAGCATAGAAAATTAGTCAATAGAATTAGGTGGTAAATTATGGTACCATATCATAGCTCCCTTTGACAGGGTCTCCCCGAATTTCTTTAGGAAGACAAATTCGATCTCCTCATCTTCTAGATCATTCCCTTTGATAGCACATATGTAAGAGGTGGCGTGCTCGTTTGGATCAGTCGTTTCATTATACTTAGGAATCTCGGGCATGCGGAACTTCTTGGGGATTGTCTTTGGAGCCGCGCTCGGGAGAAAAGTTTTTGTACAAACTTTTAAGAATCCAGTTCCTTCAATATTGGCGGTTCCCCCGGGATTTGATCGACCCTGGAGTTGTAAGTATCCACTTTTTTGTCATGTGCCTTGATTTTCCTTTCCCCCGACTCAATTCGCTTTGTCAGTTCTTTGAGCATCTTCATGATTGCAGGATTGGTCTCCGATTCTTTCTCGTTCGATTTTCTTGAAACTGATTCGACCCTATGTCTTCCTGGGACGGCTCGAGCTCGAACTGCTCGGTGGGTGATTCTGGTTTTGGAGCTGGACTGTTGCTGCCTGCTAAGCCTACAACATTTCGAAGATCACCCGTAGGCTGACCGCGCCATCTTCACCGACACGTGCGCTTTGAGCGGCTGATCGAACATCCCTACGGACCCTGCTTTCGGGATCAACGGCGAAATTTCCGTTGATGGCTACATGTGAGCTGACGTCGATTGGATCTACAGCCGGAACTCCATCGAGGCCAACTGGGGCTACATCGTTCCCTGGTGCTATATTATCATTTTCTCCGTGGTGGCCGAAATCATTTTCAACGTGTAGAGGTGCTGACTGAGAGTTTGTCATTTTTTAGTCCTGTAATCAAAGATACTTCAAAGGACAAGTGTAAAATAGTGTGTGTTACAAAAGTTTATACCAGGTAATCACTATTATCCTTAGTCCCACGGTGGGCGTCAAATTTTTTACCCTAAAAAACGGATAACAATTGAATTTATACGCGATTTTAAGGGTACGTGATATAACTTGGCACAAATTAAGAAGACAGATTAATATTGAAATTGACGATAAAAGAATAAATGTAAACCGCACGAATTGAATAGCCTTCGCCCTCAAGTTCAGTCACCCTTGAACCAAAAGATGTTTCAACTGACGTATGAATAGAGTAACAAGATAATGAAAGCTAGAAAATGGCAGTATATTGCTTTGTATTGTGTAAATATGATGTGTATTACAAATGACCAAACCCCCCTTTATATAGTAGTGGTGTCCTACTTTTGGTACAATACTATACAGGGTAAAAAATCTTATGATTTGCTAATTACTCGGTCTCTCCTTGATATGTGCCTAGATTTCCGGCATGATCCTCGACCGATCACGGATATTTTGGCTTTCCGTTGTTTGGCTCGGTAAGTTCCCCTCGATCTTGCTCGGTTTTGATCTTGCTCGATCTCGATCTTGATCGATCTTTGGGTCACGATCTCGACGATCTGATTTTGAATCATGGTTCGATATAATACGAGGTCGAACCTTAACCTATCATATTCCAGTCTCGATTAATCACACAAGGGGCGAGCCCGATTTTAACCGTATACAATATAATTATATTTTCTAACAAAAATAATACAAAACTTTCGCGGCCTCACACAAAATTATCTACTCCATATTCTCTTCTTTTTTGTTTAACTAATAAATATTGACGCGATTTAAAGAGAATCAACCTGACCTGACCCAAAACCCATCTGCATAAATCAATCAATCAAACAACTGAAAGGATCAATGAATTGGGAAGAATTCTTCACAAGATATTACTTCCGTTGCTCCGATAACCAATACTTTCTTCATCTCAATTTATGCGATATTGTTTGGATTCTAGAGTCAAACGAGTTTTTTTTTTGGTAATTATTTATATTTATATCATCACAAAATCAGTTACAAATTTCCTCTAAAATCAGCAGTTTGGACAGATAGATCCCAAACTTGCTGCATACTATCTCTATCAACCTTGTCTACAGAGCTCTAGTTTCTAAGGATAGAAATTCAATTCTTTCATATATCTATCTTATCTACTAACTTTGCGAGCTCTCACGTGAATTTCTCTTATCATTTGTTTGACTAGTTGATCTGCAGATCTGCTGCTTTCTTTGAAAATCCTTGCATTCCTTTCCTGCCATACATGATACACTCCACTAGCTAGTGTCATTCTGTATACCTCCTGTTTAGCAGTCTTCCCTGTAGCATTTTCTATAGCCCATTGTACTTCATGCTTCCAGTTCCACACTTCTCTCTTTATGCCTTGCCAAGTTAGGAGCTTTGACCATACCTGTTTAGCATACATGCACTCAAATAGTAGATAGTCGATGTCTTCATTTTCTTGCTTGCATAGCACACAGTCCATATCCTCTAGATTAGCCCAGCATGCTATCCTCTCCTTAGTTTGTAGTCTTCTGTGAAGAGCCAAGAATGAGATGAATGCCCATTTAGGATGGCCATTGTTGTTGCAGACCATTCTTCTCCAAGGACTTTTGAAATCTCACGATAGGCTCATACTATATCCTTATTGACGTATTAGTCATAGCTAGCTACATATGTTTCATGGAGGCCTATTTTTCAANCACTGAATTCTATGACTTAGAAATTCTTCATAGAGTGGGAAACAAACTAGGAACTACTAAAAGTTGATACGTGTACTTCTGCGACTACAAGGGGCCGATATGCCTGTACTTGTATTGATGTAACACTGGAAAAATCACTCAAAACTCACATACATATCGGTTCTCGTAAACAAGTCATGTTGTATGAGGGATTGAACCTCCTTTGCAATAAATGTGGTCTATTTGGGCATGCAAACTGGAACTATCAATACAATCTCACACTCCATTTATATCATATACCAATCACCTCCCCTGATCCATCTTAATCAAAACTAATTCTGAATACCAATGAACAGGAATGGAAAACTGTTACTTTTTCCTAAAAAATCTACTTCAAGAAATAAAGGTCGCCATAATGAGCGTGAGTCGCCGGAACACCAACGCTTCCCTTCGCCTTGGCACTATCCAGTAGCACTGCAATTTAAGGCGGCAGCCACATCAACAACACAGGTAAAACCAGGTAATTCTGTAACCATATCGGCCGCAATTGGGCCCCTACCAGTAGTTCTCACAAACATGATAAACTGGCCTAAGACTCTAGTTCTCCTTTGCAGAATAGTAAGAGATCATCCGCAAATCCAAGTTGAATAATCTGCAGCTTTTTGCATCTAGGGTGAAATTTGAACTTTTTATCTTTACTATACTTTTTAAACTTCTGCTAAGGTATTCCATGGCAAGCACAAAAAGGAAAGGGGATAGAGGGTCTCCTTGCCTTAGGCCTTTCTTAGCTGGAAAGGGTGGTAATGGCTCTCCATTGAGCAAAACTGAATAGGAAACAGTAGAGATGCAGCATATAATCCATCTGATAAATTTTGATGGGAACTGGAGGCATTGTAGGACTTGCTCAACATATGGCCTTTCTATTGAGTCATAAGCCTTTCTCATATCTATTTTTAACATACATCTAGGGGCGATACCTTTTCTGCCATAGCCCTTCACCAATTCATGGCTCAATAGGATATTGTCTGTGATTAATCTTCCTGGCACAAAGGCTTATTGACTTTTTTCCACCAGACTATCCATCATCCCCTGCATCCTAGTAGTAAGGATTTTAGAGATCAGCTTATATAGCATAGTGCAGCATGCTATTGGTCTGAATTCTGAATTTTTTGTGGGGTTCTTGATCTTTGGGATTAGTGTAATAGTTGCTTTGTATAGGTCTCCATCAATGAAGAATTGAAGGACTGCTTCAGTAACATTGTTTTCAATCACACACCAAGCTTTTTTGAAAAAGAATGCATTGAAACCATCACATCCTGGAGCTTTATGATCATCAATACTCATAAGGGCTTGAAAAACTTCCTCCTTAGTAACCTGTGACACTAGCTGCAATTGTTGGTGTCTATTA